CCGGGACAGAATCCGGCGCCCCAACCGGGACTAGAACCCGGTGTGCCGGCGCTGCAAGGTGGAGGATTAGCCTATTGAGCCACGGCGTTCATAGTAATTTCTTATCATCCACGGTATTTCAGTGGTGTCACTTTTTTTTTTTTTTTTTTTTTTTTTTTGACAGGCAGAGTAGACAGTGAGAGAGAGAGACAGAGAGAAAGGTCTTACTTTGCCATTGGTTCACCCTCCAATGGCCGCCACGGCTGGTGCACCGCGCTGATCCGAACGCAGGAGCCAGGTGCTTTTCCTGGTCTCCCATGGGGTGCAGGGCCCAAGCACTTGGGCCATCCTCCACTGCACTCCCGGGCCACAGCAGAGAGCTGGCCTGGAAGAGGGGCAACCGGGACAGAATCCGGCGCCCTGACCGGGACTAGAACCCAGTGTGCTGGCGCCACAAGGCAGAGGATTAGCCTATTGAGCCACGGCGCCGGCCACAGTGGTGTCACTTTTAATGTCACCTTTTCATCTCTAATTTTATTTATTTGACTTTTTTCCTCATTTCTTAGTATGGTTAAACATTTATTTTATTTATCTTCTCGCAAAAATAACTTTTGCTTTGTTGATTTTTTGCATATTTTAAGTTTCAATTTAATTTATTTCTGTTGTGATCTTTATTATTTCTTGTCTCTTGCTAATTTGGGGTTTTGTTTTTTCTCATTTTTCTAAGTCTTCAAGATGCATCATTAGATATTTTATTTGAGACATTTTTCTGTTTCATGTAAGCACTTAATGCCATAAACATCCCTCAATACTGCTTTTTGCTGTATCCCACAGGATTTTATGTATTATGTTTTCATTCTTACTTATTTCAAGAAAGTTTTTGATTTTCTTTTAATTTCTTCAATGACCCATTGTTCATTCAACATTGTGTTGTTTAATTTCCATGTATTTATGAGTGTTCTGTTGATCTTTTTGTTGATTTCTAGTTTTATTCCTTTGTGGATACATGGTATGATATTAATTTTTTTATATTTACTGAGACTTGATTTGTGGCTTAATATATGGTCTATCCCAGAAAATGATCCATATGCTCATGAGACGACTGTGTTCTGTAGCTGTTGGGTGAAATATTCTGTAAATGTCTGTTTGGTACACTTGCTTGATTGTATGTTTCAACTCTGATGTATTTTTATTGATTCTCTGATGCTAATTTGTTTATTGATGAAGAGTGAGGTGTCAAAGTCACCCACTATTATAGTGTTGGTGTGTATCTCTCCCTTTAGGTCTGACAGCATTTGCTGTATATATCTGGGTGGTTTTGTGTTGCATGCATATTTATTTTTGATTACTTTGTTTTCTTGCTGAATTGAACTTTTTATCAAAATATAATTGTCCTTCTTTGTCTCTTTTTACAGTTTTTTATATAATAGACACTTATTTTTTAAAAGAGTTTTATTTATTTATTTATTTATTTGAGAGGTAGAATTACAAACACTGAGAGGGAGAGACAGAGAGAAAGTCTTCCACCCACTGGTTCACTCCCCAAATGACTGCAATGGCCAGAGCTGAGCTGATCTGAAGCCAGGAGCCAGGAGCTTCTTCTGGGTCTCCTACATGCATGCTGGGGCCCAAGCGCTTGGGCCATCTTCTACTCTTTCCCAGGCCACAGTAGAGAGCTGGATTGGAAGAGGAGCAGCCAGGACTAGAATGGGCACCCATATGGGATGGTGACAACAAGGCAGAGGATTAACCTACTTTGCCACAGTGCCAACACTTATTATTAAATACTACACTTATTAGGCTTAAAAAATTAAAGGACAGGCATAGAACTATGGAAGAGAACCAAACAGAAATTTTAGAAATGAAGAAACATAGTACTCAAAATTAGAAATTAATGGATGAGTATAAATAAATTTTCCAGGTTTACTTGAGGGAAAAAGCTGGTACCAACACTTTATCATAATTATGATTCCATGTCAAAAAACATATAGAAAAATGTGCATATAGAAATATAGTTATCATTCAGTACTCATGAGGTTGTGGTGTCAGGAACCCCCTGGGTACCAAAATTCACAGATAATTAAGTACTTTATACAAAATGCCATGGTATTTGCATATAGCCCATGAACTTTCTCCTGTTTATTTTAAATCTTTTCTAGATTACTTTTAATACCTCATACAATGTAAATATCATGTAAACACTTGATAGATTACATTGTTAGAGGAATAATAACATTGTAAAAACATTTGTGATGTTAAGTATACATGCAAAATTTTTCCTGAATATTTTCAATTTGTGGTTTGTTGAAGATTCAGATGCAGAACCCATGGATATGGAAGGCAGACTTTATTGGACCTTAGCTGTTTTATAGCCAAATGAATAAATAATACATGCATTCAACTATGTAATTTAAACAAAGCTATTTAAATGTTTCCAGGTAAATCCAGAAGCCATTGGTTAAAACATATCTTCTCTCTAAAGAGTCATTCTATGTTAATGAATAACTTGCATTATTTTTATCCTACTTAGCTCAAAGTTAATGAATTTTTTCAAATCTTTAAACTTAAATTTGTTTCTTTCCTCTTTCACAAAATGCTCCAGAGAAAATAACTTGAATCTGGGCTTTAGTCTTATCTTTGACTATCTCTGACTGACTTGTCTAAATGGACCTTCATTTCTTTTGTTTTGTTTTTCATTTTTAAAGAATGGAAAGGTAGCATAAGTATCTAATGTGTACAAAATATTTTGAAGACCAGATGCATTGTGGAATAATTCTCATTAGTTATCATATGTACCACTTCACATGGTTTATCATCTTTGTGATGAGAACACTTAACATCCAATGTTTTTGCATTTTTCAAGACTACAGTACATTGTCATTAACTTTAGTCACCGTGCTGTGCAATAGATCTCTTGATCTTTTTCCTTCTACCTACTGCCATTATGTATTCTTTGACCAATACCTCCCCATTTCTAACTCGCCTCAGATTTCCCTGACCTCTGGTGAAAACAGGCATGTGCTCTCTGCTTCTATGAGGTCAACTCTTTTAGGCCCCACACAGGAGTAAGATCGTACGATATTTGTCTTTCTGTGTCTAGCTTATTACACTTAGCATGATGTCTTCCAAGTTCATTGATCTTGTTGCAAAAGACAGAATTTCGTTCCTTTTTATGACTAAATGTGTATGTGTACCTCAGTTTCTTCATCCATCCATTCAGTGATGGACACCTAGGTTGATTCGGTATCTTGGCTATTGTGAATAAACTGTGGGAGTATAGATGCTGACTCTTTGATTAGTTTGGAAATGATTTAATTTACTTTGAATATATACACCCAGTAGTGAGATCGCTGGATCAGTCTCATCATTTGGAAAATGAAGAGATGTCTGTCTGAGTTCAAGTAATAACTGTTATTAGGTTTTGGTAGAAGGATGTTTGTGGGGGGGTGGGGAAGAAGCAGAGGATTAGACAGAAAGAAAAAAAAAGCAAGAAAATCAAAAGGAATCCAGGAAAAAAAGGCAAAATATAATGCTTGCCATGAAAGGGCATTATAATTCACCGAGACTAACCATGAGAAAATAAAACAGACAGACACTGACCAATTTTAATGTTTTCTAACAGGACGAATACACCTTTCCACACTGTGAGCTGGTTGCTTGTTGACCCTGAGGATTTCTGTGTGTATAACAATAATTCTATTACTTAATACCTGCCCAGTGCTTTGAGTTCACAGATTCTCCATACAGTTCATGCATTTTGATCTTCCTAACAAGCCAATCTAGTATAAGTTGGGGTTTAGGAAAAGTGTAAGAATGACAAAAAGAGTCTGCTTTTTGTTCAGAACTGTGTTTAGGGTTGTGTTCTCATTTTGAGAGTGCCTTTCTGTTGAACTTACTTTCTCACTTATCTCTCTTGTGACTGAGATATTTAAAAGTTTTTAATGGTCAGGAATGCATCATGGGCGAATACTTTTTAGGGCCATATTGGAAGCCTACTGGGTTGTCCTATCTTGGATTAAAAGCTACACTTTGGCTCAAAAAGTATTCTCAGCATAATTTTAGTGTTTGAAAAGGATGGATTTTTCAAAAAAATTTTCTGTAGTATGTGTAATGCTTTGCCCAGGATCTTGTATAGAGAAGATGCTCAGTTACCATTCACTGAAATTGACTCTTGAGTGAAACTAGCTTTCTGTGAGCATCAAATAAATCTCTAGGATTTACTAGGTGAGTTGAAGACAAATTTACTATCTACATGTCCCTAGATGCAAGTATCTGAACTTGTTCATATTTGGATTTGCCTATATGTTTTGTATAGATAAGGTTAGTTCACAGTGGTCCTCCACATCTGAACTATTGGCTTAGTTTTGCTGCATGTAATTTAAGCAGAATTCCTATTCTCTTTTTGGCTTGTCACACTGAATTATAGAGATTGATAACAGAAGAAAAGCAATCAACCAAATCAGAGGTGTTTCTGATCCTACACAGAACTTATTAAATATACATGATAGAATGATTCGTATGTCTTCTCCAAGAGTTAGCAAGTGGTAATAACATTTAAGAGGAGGATGGGGAGAATTTTTTTTTATTGGTAAAAGGAATTTTTTATTAGAGAGAGAAAGAGACCAGGCTAGAATGAGAATTTAAGATAAAGATGCCAAAGCCATTTTTGATAGAAACAGGATATCTGAATTTTTTTGATGTTGAAATTTCAAATTTACTGATTTTTGTTTCATACTTTAATCACTCAATAATTTCATGGAAAATAACACTTCTTTGCATTTTATAACATTTTAATGAATAAAATAATAACAAAAATAATTATGTTTGTACTGTTTTGTGTGACATACCTAAGTAAGTAAATTTCTTGTTGTATAGACTCAGCACAACATTCCCTATTTTGCATCACTGTGCAGTGTGGAGTTTCTCCCTAGAATTGTATAACGTTCTTAATGCAATGAATTCCTTTTCATTAAGAATCTTTACTTCTTTCTTTTTTAAAAAGATTTATTTATTTATTTGAAAGTCAGAGTTACACAGACAGAGGCGAGGCAGAGAGAGAGAGAGAGAGGTCTTCCATCCGATGGTTCAGTTCCCAAATGGCGCAACGGCTGGAGCTGCCAGGAGCCAGGAGCTTCTTCCTGGTCTCTCACGCAGATGCAGGGGCCCAAGGACTTGGGCCATCTTCCACTGCTTTCCCAGGCCATAGCAGAGAGCTGGATGGGAAGTGGAGCAGCCGGGTCTCAAACCGGCATCCATATGGGATGCCAGCGCTTCAGGTCAGGGCATTAACCTGCTGTGCCACAGGGCTGTCCCCAAGAACCTTTACTTCTAAAAACATAAATAACTTGGTGGCCAGCGACAAACAGAACATGTGCACCTGTGCATTGGCATTAAGGGCCATTTGTCTTCTTTTCCCCAAACTCTTAGCAGAAGTGGTTTCTACTAGAAAAAGGAAGAAATTATAATAAGGTCACAGGAAAATGAAACATATCCTGTAAGAACCTAGCCACATGTCCTGAACATGGAAGATGCTCAGCCACTACTATTGACTTGAACTGCAAATTGATTCATATTTTTGACCAAATGAGAGTATCCCTCTATCAACTTGTCCACTTTGAGACTAATCAGTTTGGTGTTTGTTTGCTTGTGATGGGTTCTCACTGTTCCAGTTCTTTTATAAGCAGATACTTTTCCCATTATCTTTCCTGTCTTCTTTGTATTAACTTTCTTAGGATATACACAATCAATACATCTTATCACGTATGCTAGAGACTGATTTTTAAAAACTGATGATGTTATTTTTCCTATCTGGGAACCAACTCCTTGGAGTCCAGTGGAAGCACAGCGACAGTCTTGACCTGTGGCCTCAGATCTACTGGGTCAGAGAGCAGCTGAGTGCAGTGGTATTTGGATTTTATGTTCATGCTTTATTTCTTGGCTTTATTTCTGATTCATTGGATCAGGATTTCTGGGGATGAATTTCAGACTTCTTTTTTAAACAACCCCTGGAAAGATTTGGGGACCAACAAGTTATAGGATCCATTAGCCCAGAAAGTCCCTTCCAGTTTTCCTAGACTGTGGTTGCTCTGACCAGAGTTGCAGGCCAGCCATTCTGTGGATGGTAACCAAGGTTGACGAAAGAGCAATTCTTGAAGGTTTTCAAGGCTTATGAATTTTTAAAGCACCTATATTTCATGTCATATGAGAAGGCACTGTAAAAATCTTTTATTTTGGAATAGATACAACTCTTCTAAAATGAGAAAAAGGGAAGGAAGCTAAGATAGATGACTTCATGGAGTTGGAAGAGAAACTAAGGAAAATACATGGCACTGTAACTGGATCTGTCCCTTGAAATCTTAGCTGCCATTAAGTTCACAGTCACGCAGAGGTGTTAGGCGTGCTTGTCTGAGACCATGAGGCTTAATGGACCAAATGTGGCCGGAAGATCAAGAAAGCTAATTGTAACTACAAATCATGAAATGGATATATATAATGATTTAAGCATTATTCTGCAAGTGAATAAACGTTAAAGCTAGAGCAGCTGGGTTTTTTTTTTTTTTTTGGAGTAATTATATGATCTTGTGCAGTTTTTATTTTAAAATTTGTTTTATCAAATGCAACTCTAATAAGGGCAACTTCTTCCTGACCAAAACCCACATAGGAATGCCAATTAGGAATATACTTGGCTTCAAATAATAGAAAATGTGACATAATTAAAAGGAGTTCTTTTTCTTACATTTTTCTCTGGATCTCAATACCCTAAAGATGTTGGGATGATCATCTCCTGATTCCCTGGGCCTTAGCTTCCTGTTGGAGGTCAGCCGTTGCAGCCTCCGAGATAATGCTCTTGTCTTTCTAGGCAGGAGTGAGAAAAGTCAGGGCCGACTGCCTTACAATAGCCAAACCTGCTCACTCTGATGCCCAGCAAAATTCTGCTGACTTTTTGGCTGGAAATATGGCCACCTTTAACTAAAAGAGATCTGTTGAATAGATGAGTTTTAAGTTTCAAATTATACTACCTGGACTTTTTACTTTGTGTTCTTTGCCTTTCATTCTCCCTCAACACCTCAAAAGGCTTTCTTTCTCTGCTTTGCCAAACTAAATTTTGCAGTTCCTGGTGGCCTGCTTAGTAATTAACCCTGTAATGAAGTCTTCTCTGATTGTTTCCACATAATGAATTTCTCCTTTGCTAATCATTTGCATGCACATTCTGCACCAAATTAGCATGTATTTATACACCCACTGCAGTATTGGAGGCCTGTTTCTTTTTCATAGCTTATCTCCAAAAATAATTTATTCTCGTAACCCCTCAGTTTCTAGGACAGTTCTGTGCCTAGTAACACGTGCCGAGCGGAAATGAGATAAATGGAGACTGTGTCGCTGATTCTCCACTTTGCAGAGCGCACCGTGCAAAGCTCTGCTGGCAGCCCAAAGCCTGCATGTCATTGGTGCCTTTGTGTGTGCAACAAACGTTTTCTGATGTTTTGCATGCTTTATATTCACATGAATTGCAAGGACCACAAATATGAATCACAATCGTAGGCTCTATGGATTTCAGTTATCTCCAATGAAAGACTGGATTTGAGTGATCTCTACAGCATCCAAGAAATTTTCCTAAGGAAACTTGTGGTTCGCGTGAAATGACAATTTACCTCTTAAAGAGCTTCAGGAAAGGAACGTGCTGGAGGCACGAGAGTCGTGGGTACTCGTGAGCGTGGATCCTGGAGGAATGTGGCCTGGAGCCGCACTGGTGGAAGCCTATTGTACAGGCACTAGACGAACCCCTGAGCAGAAAGTGAACGACATGAGGGTTCATTTATGAGGGAAAGAATCCACGAACACTTACTATGGGTCTTGCTCTCCCTCCCGCTCATCCTTCTGCTTCAAGCTATTTCTGTGCTCATCTCACACTTTCTGTCTTTTTCAGATGTGCGTTGACAAATTAGTGAGACAATTTTTACTGGCACTTGCGTATTTCTCCTGATGGATATAGCCCTGAAACGTATGTGCAAAATACATCGGTTTGAAAACAACCACAAATGGTAAAATGGTGATTCAGGAAGCGTGGGGTCAGAAAATGAAGACAAGAAGGAAGAATAAGGAGACAGAATTGAAAGCACAGAAGAAATGCTATGCAGAATTGAAAAGTCAAAAATAAATCCTGTCTCTGTCTTCATGGCACAATTTATCAGTGTGGCACATCTTTATTCTTTAAGTCATAGCTATGTCTCCAAACAAGGTTGAGTCTGAGGGGGGAAAACACTACCAAAAATAACTCTGGGCCCATATGACTTAATTTTCACTTTTAACTACTTGGTGTTAAGTCAGGGGAGCCGATCACATGGATGAAAACATAATGCAGTCTTCCTCACCAATACGTGAATTATGTATTTCCCCACTGTTCATTGTCATTCATAAAAGGCAAAGGGTCTTCTTGGTGGAAAAAGTGTTCACTGTACCTGGTAAGTTGCCACGATCATCTTCCAAGGCAATGGGTTATTTTGGTCTTCAAGGCCTCATGGTCCTAGGAAGTGATTTATAGTCCAACAAGAGGACAATGCGATGTTTCCACTTTGACTACTGCAGATTTTTTTTAACTCTTTACAAGGAAAGATACATAAATGCAAATTTTGTTTCAGAAAAGTACTCCATAGGGCATAATCAGGAGAGTGCATCATTCTCATTTTTATAAAAAGAGATCTGTTCAGATCTTTTCAACAACCAACAGTTTTTTATGGTTTGTAGGACTTTTTGCTAAGAGAAAAGAGAGAGCAAATTATCCAAATTCCACACTTGCAGCCTAAGACTTCTTGGTGCAATGCAGAAACCCAAGATTTTGTTTAACATTTAAATGCCAACTTGCATTTTTAAGATTTTAAAAGATACAAAATTATATACTCATGACCCAGAAATTTCACTACTAGTTATGTACCCAAGAGAAATAACATGTCCACACAAAAATTGAATGAGTATTCATAGCACCATTATTCATAACTACCAAAAAGTGTACACAACTCAAGTGTCTGCCAACCAATGAATGGATAAAAATGTGGCACATCCATATGATGGAATATCACGCAGCATGGAATATCATGCAGCATAGAAAGAAATGAAGGAAGGGTTCAGACCACAGTGTGAAAATCCTGAAGACATTATTCTAAGTGAAATAAGTCAGACACAAAAGAGCATGTGCTGTGTGATTCCATTTATATAAAAGGTACAGGTTATACAAATCTATAGAGATGGAAAGTAGATTAGTGGTTTCCAGTGGCTGAGAGGACATGGAGAATGGAGACTGGGGTGAGACTTTTTTTGAGGATGGTAGAAAAGTTCAATATCAGATAGTGGTTATGACTGTACAACTTTGTGAGTATACTAAAGACTATTGAATTATACTCCTTAATGGTATGTTAATTTATCTCAACAAAAAAAAATGAAAAAGGCATTCTCTTAGTATCAACTGACTTTTAACATAAAAGTTAGATTCCACATACATGAATTGAGATCAATTTCCCAAAGGTTACACAAGTTTTTAAAGGATAGATACCACAAAAGATCCTATTTCAATATGGTAAAAATTTTAATTAGCAAAAAACTATTTGATTTTGTTGTTCTTTCAATATAGAGAGCTTCACTGTTCAGCTACTTAAAGCAACTAAAAGTAAATCAAAACTAAACAGATTCTCAGGGCATGTCTGTTGGGGGAGCTGGTTGTCTCAACCTCTCCAGTCTCATTTCTGAAATTCCCTTCCCTTTTGCGTGCCTTGCAGGTACCCCATGCCCTAATAAAGTTCTTAACTTTTCTTTCTCCATGCCTATGTCTGCCTCCACTCTGCTCAACTTTACCCATTGGAAATGTGGGATCCCTTGTTTCAGCTGCTGTCTGTTCACCCAAAGAATGACTGTCCGGAGGTGCAGCTTGAAGCCTGAGGTGGAGTCAAGCAGAGACACCCAGAGGCAGCAGGAAGACTCCTTGTGCTTATCAATGGAAGCACAGTGGGGACCACTGCTGGAGGACCCATTCTTAGTCCTCATTATGCTTCCTGCTCTGTCTGGCAGCCTCCCTTAGCCATACCGCATGGTTAGAAAGCTAGGTATTTGCTCCCTTACTTGGAGCAATCTCCAGAAAGCTGAATTATAGGTCAAAGTCCTGGAAATTTTGGATTGATCAGTGAACATTTCCTATGTTAAATCGGATACTATTCACTAAGTTTTCACTTCAAGTTGGCTGAGTTTCACATCATTATAAATGGTAAAGGTAAGGGATGGACTCTATGCTGTCTTCACAATTCTCTGTTCAGCTAGAGAATGAGACTGCATTATGGAGTCAAGTTTCTCTCATCCTCCATTTAGATGTTTTCTGCTTAAGAGGCTGCTCAGGCCTTTGTGCGTATGGTTTCTCGCTAAAGATCCAGCTCTCACATCTAACATCAAATGGGCATAAACCCAAATGGAAGCCCTCACTCTCCCCGTCCATGGTCTGCCCTTGCTGCTCTCCAGCCCTACAACCTGCGGATCCTCCTGTTCACGTGTGTGTGAGTGGATATTGCAGCTTAAACACAGGCATGAGGGTCAAGCCTTCTAAACCTACACACTGTTTTTCTTGCAATATAGGACACATTTTTCAACATATCTATGATGCATGCAAATAGGTAAGAGGATCTCAAGTAATTCTCTTGTAAGAATAGGGCAGGAAATTCTCCACATCCAGGGTAAACCAGGCCTAGGTTTAGGTCTAGAAGAGACTTCTGTAGCCCACGCCCCCTGCCCCTGTTCCACATGTGAGCAATTACGGGGCTCTTACAAGCTCTCACCAAGACACTCAGCAGGACTCAGGCATTAATGGATTTTTCTCACTTCTATTGTGCTGTAAAATTGAGTTTGTATTTATTAAAAACTTAAAGGGGTTTTTAATTCTGTGGATTTAATTTAGAAATTGCTGTGAAATGTAATTGATTTTTATAAACATGCCTATAATATGCTTGCATTATTAAGCATTTGTACAGTGATTTGCTTATGTATGTGTGCCTGATATCTTTAAGATGGCTAATGAACAAAATGTGACAGCGTGTCTTCTAAAAAGCAGAATTTACTGCTTTCAATTTTTGCAAAATTGCTCCTTTTCTCAAAATGAGAACCGTAGGAAGCTGCTGGAAAGATAATTTTCAGAAAGAAAGGTAAATTCAGCTCTTTCTTTATTAATGTCTCTTTCTTCCCAATATTATTTATCAGAAGTCAAAGAACTTGTTTGCCGCATGACCACTGCTTTCTCTAATTAGTTCTATACATACATACAGAGAGAGAGGGAGAGAGAGATTTAGAGTGATCCTACTACGTATAATTAAGCAGGGCTGTGTCCTGGTCTCCTATCACAAGAAACTCCCTTCAGAGAAATAGCTCCTGATATAACCACACAGTTTATTCTACACTGTGAGGCCTCCAGCGATACACCCTTCATTGGTGGAATAGTTTTCACGGACAGACCAGAACCAATTATCAAGGAAAGAGTTTTTTTTCTCATAAGTCCTTCCTTTACCTTCTGTATGTCCATTAATTCTTCCTTTGCGTCTGCATCCAGACTGACTCCATCACTGACGGAGCCCAGGGTAAAAAAAAAAAAAAAAAAGAGGAAATAAAATAAATTAAAAATAATAATAAAAAACCCACATCAGAGTCTCTTGTTCAAAAAACAGGAAAGAATTCTTCCCTTTCTTTCTGTCTCTGCCTTGACCTGCCACAGTGATTTTTGTTTGCTATTTAACATGAAGCTCCCTCAGATACAAGGGTACTTGCGGGCTGAGTGCAGACTCTCCCAGGTACCCCCAGGCCTGCTCAGCCACTTGGTGTCTGGGTAAGTACCAGCCTGCAACCCTCCCTGCACCTGTGCCCAAGTTCCCACCTGGCCAAATGGCTGTGGGGGTGGGAGGGAGGTTGCGGTGGGTGGATGAGCAAGCTGCTCCCACCCCTGTGCACCAAGCTGCCTTTGCATTTTGCTACAAAACACAAAGCAGTTAGGAGGATTAACACTTTCAAGAGGTAGCTTCATAGCACAGAACCCTAAGCATGGGGCACTCCATCTGAGCCTTTGCTGTACTGGGGGCAAACTCACCCTTTACCTCTTCTATTTTCTCTAGCACCCAGCGTGGAGGTGAACCAGGGTAGACAGTTAGCCCAGAGTTGTCAAAAGCTGCTGGACTCAAAATCACTGCTGTGGTCCCTTGCTGTAGGGGAGCATTGCCCATTAGATTTTCCCTAGTCATACCCCTAACTGCCCTTCTGTAGGGGAAACACAGGGGCCAGCTGCCAAGGAAGGCTGTGTAATGTTGGTCCCAGGTTCAGGTGGCTCTGGTATCCATTATTCCTGTCCTTGGTGATCCCTGGAGAGAAGAGGGAACAGCACATGGTCACCTGCGTGCCCACTGCGTGGCTTCCTTTGTCCCTGTAGTGCTGGGCGGAGCTGGGGAAGGGGAGGATAGAGAGATAGTTTCCAGGGTCATCCAGAACGGGTCTTGACTTGCATTCCTTAAGCAGGTGTAAATGTTAACCCTTTAGAGACACAGGTGCATCTGATTTACTGTTTGTGTTTTGATTTTATGTGTTTTATTTTCTCCATTTCGTGGTCATATGAGCCTGCATCAGCTTTCTATCCTCAGACATAAAGTATGAAATTCTATTCCACAGTTCAACGGCACAGCCTCTGTCATGTGATTTTTGAAATAACATCACTTTTTCCCCCAATGGAAAAGTTATGCACATTACAGAAAATGTGAAAAATTTAGAACAGAAGTAAATGAACAATCACTAGAATTGTCATCTTGCCAACCAGAAATCATACTTAGCATGTTAGCATGCGCCTTTTCGTTCTTTTTACATTTGTAGCTATGAGGCACATGTTAGTCATTGTAAATACCCATCTTCCTTTATAACATATTTTATTAGAATATTTATTTTATAAAGACAGGGTGACAGAGAGAGAGAGAGGGAGAGACAGAAAGAGCTGGTTCACTCACCAACAGCCTGCAACAGTGGGGGCTGAGGCAGACTGAAGCCAGGAGCCAGGAACTGCATCCACATCTCCCACGTAGGTGGCAGGGACCCAAGAACTTGAGCCGTGAACGGCTGCTACAAGGTTGTGCATTAGCGGTAAGCTGGAATTGGAACCAGGACTGGAACCCAGCACCCTGATCTGGGATATGGGACTCCCAAGTGGCATCTTACCCTCGAGTGTCAAACACCCACCCTACAATCTGTCTTTCTCTCAGGTTTCCCAGTGCTGCTTACTCTGCTGACCCAGGGCCATCCTTTGCAAAGCATTCTGCTGAACATTGATCCGAGTGTTTCATGTACGTGACTGGAATTTTATAGCCATCTTTTACAGTGGAGGGCTGACATTCAGAGGGTCCAAGGTCATGAAGCTAAAAATGGCAGTGCTATCATTTGAGTCGAAGTACGATTATTCAAACCCTGAGGAGTTTTCCACAGGCGACCTGGTCTCTGTATTTTACCGCCCACAGATAAAACATTTTGGACATCTTTAACAAACGCAAAAAGTTTCAATGCCATGCTCGTCTCACCGCCATCTAAAGGGGCCCATGAAGGAGGAGAGAGGCGAGAGCAGGTCAGGCTGAGAATCGTCCCAGGAGGAATGGCTCCAGGGGTTGCATCTACCATTCAGAGCAATAGGTGCAAGTATAATGGCACAACAGGTTAAGCCTCCACTTAGGCTACCTGCTTCTGATCCCAGGTACCCTGCTTCTGATCCAGTTTCCTGCTGATGTGCCTGGGAGACAGTAGATGAAGGCTCAAGTATTTGAGCCCCTGTCACCCAGATGAGAGACCCAGATGGAGTTCCAGGCTCCCGGCTTTGGACTGGCCTAGGCCTAGTAGTTGTAGGCATTTGGGGAGTGAAAATCAGGGTTTGGAAGATCTCTCTCTCTCTCTCTCTCTCTCTCTCTCTCTCATTTGCTCTGCATTTCAAGTAGATGGAAATAAGTAAACTTTTTTTAACTTAAAAAAAAAGGGGGGCAGTGGGCAAGAAGGCCTGCCTCCCGGTCACCATGTGCGTCACTGAGCTGTGGAGGTGGAGAGATTTTCACATCAGCTACTGCAGCCGCATAATAACGCTTCCCTGAAGACAGCTCAGCCTTCTCCAAAACCAGCCTCCTCCACACCATGGCCCAAACCCCACGTGTGCTCAGGCACCACAGAAAACAAATTGCGTCAGGCTCCAAAACAAAGCACTCCTGTCTAACCGGTTGGTTCATGATGCCCAGCAGAGCAAACACCCAGGGCTTGGCAGACCGTGAGGCCAGGCTGGCTTCTACCCAACCCAGATGAAGAGGTGAACGTTTGCTCACCTGCACCCACGGTCACCGAATGAGTCAGACAGCTCTCACAACCGAAGAAACTCCAAGACCTCACGATGCCAACTGAAGCTGTTTGCTATCCTGGCTGTTGCCACTCGGCTCTCTTTCAGTGTTGATGGTTGTGTGCGTAGACTACTTATGCATGTGTTTCCTCATTTGTTCATCTGTGACCTGACGACTCTGGGGACAAATAGAGCACCATCCAAATAGGTATTTTTTTGTACCGTCTGGTATAGTTCCATCGGACATGAATACCTCTGAATAATAATCCACTCTTCAACGGTTCAACTCCAGAATGGAAAATGCATCACTTCTATCCATGTTAAAGATAATTTCAGTCTGGGCTGTTTTCTCACATAAGGCAAGGTGATGCATTCTAAGGCTTGTTTTGTCCAGGGGTTATCAGGAACCTGGTACAGTCGTCTGCTTTATCATTTGCAGTAACTGCCTGATCCAGTAAGGAGAGGACTTAGGGAGAGGAGACCGGGGAAGGCTGCCGTGGAAGAAAGAGTGAGTGGTCCTAATCTGAGTTCTCCGGGCCCCAGAACTGATGTGAGGAAGTGGCTGCTTTGGTGGCAGAAGGATTTTGGTAATCAGAACCAAAGGCAGAAGGAATTCCCTGTGATAGAAAGGATTAACATTCACGCTGGGTTGTTACGTCAGGAAGTCTTTCAAAACCATTCCTCTGCTTAGGTAAGCTATTTGATTAGGTAGCTCTTTTAAAAAATATTCATATATTTATTCCACTTATTTGAAAGGCAGAGACAGAGATAGACAGAAACAGAGATTTCCCACCTGCTGGTCCACTCCCCCGATGCCTTCAACTTCCATGGCTGGACCAGGCCAGGAGGTGGGAAATCAGTCCGGGGCTCCCACATGGGTGGCAAGGCCCCAGCTGTTTGAGCTGTCGCTGGCTGCCTCCCACGGTGCCCCTTAGAAGTAAACTGCGTTGGGAATAGAGCCAGGATTCCAACCCAGACACTCTGATAAGGATGCATGAGTCCCAAGCAGCGTCTTCACTGGGATTAGCTGATTCTTAGGGATCCTCTTCTCCCCTTCCCTGCCCCCCTCAGCCATCTTCTCCCTCTCCCTCTTTAGATGAGTGAGGATCAGGGAGACCAGAATCACACCTCCAAGGTAGTATCAGACTAGGGAGTGGGAGAGGGCTCAGGCTGTCAGGGAATACTTATTTTATAAAAACCAGAGCATCTTCCTTTTACCAACAGTACATTCAGTTTTATACTACACCTGATGTCTTTCATTGTATAGCCATTTCTTAAGCCCAGCAAGTCACAAGTTATACATTTGTGGAATTTTTTTAACTATTAGTATGTAGTCAAACGTTATTAACTGGACTCCAATTAGCCGAAAGCACTTTGAAAATTCTGCATTTTAGAAAACTTGGGGAAATTACCTAAAACAAATCCATATTAATGATATTGGAAACATTTTCATTATGTAGCAGCTTCAATCCTACATATTTCTAGACAATGACCCTAGATAACTATAATGAATCTGTAAGAAATGTTATCAACAAAAAACTGGCTTACCATTTTACTAAGAAAATGTATACTAATATATTTCAGAAATATTTTCAGTAATAAAGATGAAAAAAGGAGCTTTCTAATTAGTATTGACATAGCCAGGAAATTTAATTAACAAATATACTCTAGTTTTATGGCATATGGAAAACACAACTCATTAAATAGTAATCATATTATGAATGCTAAATACTGCTGACCAAATTAATATTAGGTAAATAAAAAATACAACTGTTCACCTTTATCCAGTTTTGCTTTCTTTTTTTTGGGGGGGGGGAATTCCTGATTACTTTACTTTAAAAGATTTATTTATTTATTTTATAAGTCAGAGTTCCAGACAGAAAGGGAGAAAGAGAAAGAGAAAGAGAGAGAGAGAGAGAAAGAGAGAGAGAGAAAGAGAGAGAGAGAAAGAGAGAGAGAGAGGTCTTCTATCTGCTGGTTTACTCTCCAGATGGCCACAATGGCCAACACTGGGTCAGGCCGAAGCCAGGAGCCAGGAGCTTTATCCGGGGCTCCCACACAAGTGGCAGTGACCCAAAACCTTGAATCATCTTCCAGTGCTTTTCCTAGGCCATCATCAGAGAGCTGTATCAGAAGTGGAGCAGCCGGGACACAAACCAGTGCCCATATATGATGCCCGTGTTGTAGGTGGTGGGTTTACCCACTGTACCACAGTGACAGCCAC